CATCATATGATATTGGCATTGTTGCACTTGTCTCAGTTTCCAATATCATTTCATGAATAGGGTTATGATGATATTGATCATAAGATGTTGAAACCATTTGACATTGATCTTGAACATTTGATGTGTCCCTTCTTGGTGATGGTCGTCTATCAAATGCTCTCAACCACTTTGATTTCTTGTACACTCGGCATAAGCTGAATTCATGCCTTAATTTCTATATAACAAAATATAGAAGCATACAGAAAAAAATAGTTGTATTAAAGAAATGCAACTGAAATTGCAACAGGAAGGTTTGCTAATCCTCATAATCACATCTGAGCTATAATTATGTTTGGTGTAATATATATATATATATATATATATATTGAATGCGTAAAGATTTATACACAGTTGGTAAATTATTTATCGTCGAGTATAATCATAATCAGTGACAAGGTAAAAAATCATACAGCATTAGTGTATACATTTTTTATCACTGACATTTAATATACCATTTATACATTGTCAGTGCATCATTCACTATTTATAGTTAATTATCACTGACATATAAAAAAAAGTAATCCAAATGAATGATGGATGATATAATGTCTATGTATAAATCTTTACACTGACAATATATTTATATATCAGTGTTTAATTTATATCATATATCATATTATGTTTATAAATTAAGGGTTTCTGTAAGTATAGAAAATGGAAGGATAATTTATGTAATTTCACAAAAACTTATGGAATATTAGTTTAATTTACTCTTTATATTATTAATAAACTTTTGCAAATGTTTCACACGTTATACTAAATTGATTAGTAATATTAATATTAAATTAATTATAATATTACAATTGATAAGTAATTTATGAGTAATTTATATCATATACAAGACATTTATATTATATATAAAACATTTAATTTTCAGTGTAATTTACTCTTTAAATTGGTTATTACTCATATATAAGTTTTCTCAAAAGAATATTTTTTGTATAGAAAAGTGGAGGCATACACTTCCAACAAAGTATCTAATGTTTAAAACTTAAGAGTTTGAAGTGCTTTATTGTGAATTAGGAGTCTAAAAGTTTAAGACTGTGTTGACTAGTTGTTTAAAACTTACAAGTTTTAAACTAAAATAATATATTATTATAAGATTGTGGACTTTAGTTTTTGATTTTTTGTTTCGAAAGAAATTTATGAGGCATTATAATTATTTATTTTTGAAAATGTGATTGAGTTGGTTATAAATGTGTTTTTGAAAAGAAAAAAAAAAGGGTCATTCCGCCGGCCTGCCAACCCTGCCAACCCTGCCAACCCTACCAAATATGGGTCGGGCTGTCATTTTAAGTTATTTTAACAATAAGGGTCAGGTCGGGCCAACCCATATTTTGGCGGGCCAAATGCGATCCGGACAGGGGCAGGCTGGCCTGTTTTACCACCCATAATCTTGCATAACATGTTGCATGCGGATAGAGATAGAAGAGAATGAGAAAGTGTTAGAACACAATTTCATTAATTAAACCTTGTCCCTCACATTTGGTGGGACAAGGATATTCTATAGTAATTTTTTTATCTTCATGTCCCTACCCGTCAAAATTGAATAGACAAGGACATGAATTAGGACATGTGATTTTCATCCCATTTTATGTTGTGTAACTTAAGTAAACAAGTTGATTCTAGATGAGTAACCTAATTTTAAGGAACAACAATCTCTTATCCCAAATCATGGTCCATACCAATGAAAATATATGATTAATTAAAAAAAAAAGTTAAACATTCATATTTTTTAATATGTTTTCTTTATTGTTGAGGGGAAATCAAAACCTTATTCATTTTTAAGACTTTATAGTTGATACATACCTTATCACCTATCTTCTTTGAAGAGGATGCTTCAGCTTCTATGGCCTTATACTCATTCATTTTCCAATTGGTTTTCCTTCCATTCGAAACTCTTCCACTATAGAAAACCATGGTTCTTTTCATTCCAATTAAGCGATTATCTTTCGAATAAACGTGATAAGGAGAGCCGGTAGCTTTCCAGAACCCACTAGGTGTGAGCCTCTTTGGCCTCTTTCCTCTAGCTTCACTTTCTTGCCTTGGAATGAAAAAGAACCATTGCTCAGTGTCTTTCATACTTGCCTCTCCCGAAATTTCTGAAACCAAGAAAGAAAAACAAGAATAATATTAATATCGGTATGAAGAAATAAAATACTTTAAAAAAGCAACACTAACTAGAACCAAGATCATTTTCCCCCAAAATTTCATGTTTTTATGTATCAAACTAATCATATTCCATCAAATAACATAAAAATGTTATTTTATGTTTTTTATATTTTTCTTTTAAAGTAGATGACACCTTATAATTGGTTAGGGACATCATGAGACATGAAACGTGGGACATCTATCACCATTCCACTAACTATAGCTTATTATAATTAAGTAATAATAAAGTATCATGTGTAGATGTATTGTTGGGTATTCCAAGTGTGAATGAAGAAGTCTCACATTGTGTAAAAATGAATGAATTGAATATCATATAACTAGATAGACTCATAGACCTAATGCCTTGAGATTTTGGGTCAAGATGTGGTATCAAGTCCACTTATATACTTCATTCATTTAGCCTATAGAAGAATGATATAGCTCATGGATGAAGATATCCCTACAAGTAGATAGAGAGTTGATCTGGTGTATCCAATACTCGAATGAGAGTAACTCACATTTGAGGGGAAGATGTTGTGTATTCCAAGTGTGAATGGAGAAACATATAAATGGATGCTCATAGACCTAATGTAATGCCTTAAGGTTTTTGGGTCGATATGTGATGTCAAACTCACTTATATGTTTCTTTCACTTAACGTATATGGAAGAATCATATAGCTCTCCCTACATGTCTATATATTTCTAAAGTTAGAAACCCATGTACAAGTAGATGAAATAAAATAACTTCAAATATAAAAGGAAAAAAGTGAGGGAATGAAAGATTTTTACGTGGGAGTTGAGAAGGATTATAGGAATATATATCAATGAGTGGTATAACCCGGTTCATGATATCTTCTTTCTCTCCTTCAAGTTTGTTGTGAAGATAGAATGAAATAAGTTCCTCTTCTGTAGGGTAGAACCTATAACCTGCTGCCATATTTTCCATTTTCTTTTTCTTGATATATATACAATCAAGTTAAAGAACAGGAATATTTGCTTTGTTATTTTTTGATGGTGAAATCCTCATGCAGATCAAGTATATATATATATATATATATATATATATATATATATATATATAAAAGTGTAATTAATAGGCGTTTAGTTTACTACGATAGAGATGTAGTTCAACATCGCGCATTCTAGGAATATAATAACGGTTTCGGACGCTGTCTATATAAATGTAATAGAATACATAATTATATTTCACTATGTGTCACAATTTCATTGGATATTAGACTCTTAATTACCGGTTAATACCACTAGTAGTGGTTTCCCAGAAATTAAAGAGTGAGGAAGTTTGGCAAAGTAGCAAAATAAGAGCATACGAGTGAAATGAGAAAAAATTGCATCATAATAGTTTTTGGGTTTACACAGAAATTTCCACTTCCACGCGCTTCCTATGTCTTTGTCATTTTCTATATCTGCATATCGCGTAGAATGCCTTTTGAAAAATCAAATACATTTTTCTTTGAAATAATTGAAATTTTCAAATTCGTTCTCATTGATATTAAACTTTGTAAAGACTTTTTTTAGTTGTCTTAGTCAATTTTACCAGAACTTAATATTCTTATGATCAACTTAAAAAAAGTCAAGAGATGTGAATATTTTGAGAGATTAATATAAGTGTTCATTCTTAGAATTATTATCCCACTAACAATTATTTCAATAGTTTGTTTAAGATAAATATGTAACTTTTTAATGCACATAATAATAATATAGTTGTTAATTACTATTATGTTTCTAGGTAATAACACACTTATTTTCTCCTCACCTTAACATGTGTGATGCATGTTTCAAAGACACTTATGTAGCCTAATTTTAATATAAAGATAATTGAACTCGTGGATCGACATAAACATTAGTGCATATATGAGAATAGAAAGAAAATAATATCACATTAATATTATAACACTTTAATATTATGTAATTATATGAATAAATATGCATTCAGTGTGCTGATAACAATATTGGGTTTTACTCTGAAATTGCACTAAAAATCGAACTTCACCATTACACCCTAATTAAACATGTGAGTAGTTCCTCACAATTGGGAATTAGAAAGCCCCAATAAGTCATGGCCTAATCTGGACAAAGGCCCTTATTTTAGCCAAACTAGGAAGCCCAAGTACCAATATTAGCCCCCAAAAAAATTAAGGGTAATAAAAGTAAGTGAAAAAAACCTACCCACATCTTAATAATTCATTATTGGGAAATTCAATGATTTGAATTGGTGAGTACATCTAAACCATTGAATTTTTCAAAATTAGATGTCTAAGATATGGAGTAGGTCTTTTCCACTTACCCTTGGATTAAATGGATCTATCCCCTAAGATTAAAACAAAAACCCTTAAGGGTAACTTGGTCTTTCAATATACCAAGGGACTATATATTCTCCCCATTTCTCTTCTGTTGTTCTCTTCATCAATCCAGGGTTTATATTTCTCTTCCATGAATTGTTGGTCTATTTTATCATTTTTTGTTTTAATCTGTTAATATAGATCTGTAATAAGTGTAAATGCACCCCTTAAGATCCCCTTCCTTAATTTCCATGGAATTTTGTCTTGTCTTTGCTATCCCAAATTAACATCCTTTGGGTTTTTCATTAGGGTTTTCCTTCTGGGTCCTCAACTATCTCACATTGTTATTCTATTCATGAGATATAGATCCATTTTATCACATTTTAGGTCATTTATCAATGCCTCTATGTCAGGTGTGACACACTTTCTTATAAAAAAAGTTATTTCTTACCAGATTTCAGATTTTGTATTGTGTATGTTTTGTTCAATTTTATTTGTATAAGAGAAAAAAGAGGGTAAGGATAATGATTCAATTAGATGTGTGAAAGGTTAATTACTTTCTGAACTCAAACTTTTGAGGCATATCCATTCATATATCTGACTACACTTTTTGTATTTTTCTTTTAGTGCCTAGAGTTGGATTTTATGAAAGAAAATAATGTATGTCATAATATAAAGAGATAAGTTATCTCAAACTACTAAAATTGTGACATGTGTACCATTTAATTATTTTCTACAAAAATATTTCTAAAACTAAACAAAATAATACACATGTCATTCTTTTACTGGTTGGAGGAGGTAAGTTATCTTCTGTCACGAGGAAATACTTTATTCTCTTTATGAAAATTAGAACATTTATATATAGGTGAAAACTAACATGCGAACTGAGAATTGGTTCGTTTCGGTGCGAACTTTATTTTAACCGTTGGATGAGAAAATGCGATAACCTGTAACTTGTTAACCACTTGTAGGAAGTCGGTTTTGGGGGATGTAGGTTTAGTTGGGATGTTGTATTGGGGTAAACCGACTTCTGTGTAGAATTTGGTAGGGGAAAAACCACAGAAGTCGGTAGGGGAAAAACCGGTTTTCTGGTTATCGGTTTATGGGTTACCGACTTCAATAAAGAAGTCGGTTTGGGATAATACACGAAATGGGCTGCATGGCCCGTTGAGAAGTTACTCTGGCCCAAACCGACTTCTCAACAGAAGTTACACTGGGCCAAACCGACTTCTGTTGAGAAGTTACTCTGGCCCAAACCGACTTCTCAACAGAAGTTACACTGGGCCAAACCGACTTCTGTTGAGAAGTTACTCTGGCCCAAACCGACTTCTTAACAGAAGTGTCACTAGGCCAAACCGACTTGTGTTGAGAAGTTACTCTGGCCCAAACTGACTTCTCAACAGAAGTGACTCTGGGCCAAACCGACTTCTCAACAGATGTTACTCAGGCCCAAACCGACTTCAGCCAAAAATAATCTCGGTACCCAGTCACAAATCCAACGACTCAAATGAATTAAAAAAATCGTACGGCTATTATTTCAGTTCGCATTGAAACGAACTAACCTGCAGTTAGCAGATTAGTCACGGCCTTATATATATATAGTAGTGGAGGGCAAGGATGATGATTCAATTAGATGTGTGAAAGGAGAATTCCTTTTTGAACTCAAAATTTTGAGGCATATCCATTCGTATACCTGACTTGCTACTATACTTTTTTGGAGTTTCAATGAGTTTTATTTTCTATAATTTAAACTCATTGAAACTTATATTTGTCTTTATATCACATTCATGAACAAAAATAATTATGAATAGGCAAATTACAGCTTATATGTATTCGCTACATTATATTTATATTATTATATTTCTAGACAATGTAATCACTTGTCTCATTAGTGTAATTAAAGTGATGAGTGACCATAGTAGTATACTACCAAGTAAGTTATTTACTCTTTTTTTATAAGTATTTGCTATTTACTCCTAATAATAGGTTTGTGTACAGGGCAAAAAACAAACTATTTGCATTAAAAATAGAGTAAATTACACTTACACCCCCTGAGTTTTAATGAAATTACACAAATCACCCTCTTTTTTTTGTCCTTACACCAACCACCCCTCCCTCCTACACAAACTACCCCTAAATTTATACATACATTACACTGATCACCCCTGCATCTTATAAAAGTGTAATATTTTAAAGAAAAAACGTGTGATGAATGTAATTAAGTTAAACAAAATATTGTATATTGTATAACACTTCAAATAGTACAAAACCGAGTGTTTCTTTATTATTTTTGTGTCATTAAAAAATACATTATAAATTTCAAAGAAATGTTTAAATAACTCTTATACTATTTTATAACGAGCCAAATAATGAAGACGTATTGACTCTTATATTATTTGAACTTTTCTACACAATATACAATATTTTGTTTAATTAATTACACACATCATACGTTTTTTTGTTTAAAATATTAGATTTTTATATCATGCAGGGGTAGTGAGTGTAACATATATAGAAAATTAAGGGTGGTTTGTGTAGGGACAAAAAAGTGAGGGGTGGTTTGTGTAATTTCACTAAAACTCAAGGGATGTAAGTGTAATTTACTCTTAAAATATGTTTTTATTACTCAAAATTTTTGTGTATTACAATTTGCTTCTTTTAAAATTGAAAAACTTATAAAAATCCTAAAAATATCAATTCTGAGTAACCAAATAATCTCACTAAATAACTATAAGAGCATATTGTTCCATGAGGAATTGGTACTCCCGAGTAAATTACACTCACACCCCTTGAGTTTTAATGAAATTACATAAATCACTATTTCCTTCTTTGTCCTTATACCAACCACATCTCCCTCCTACACAAATCACTCATATTTTTATACATATATTAGGCTGACTACCCTTGCATGTTATAAAACTGTAAAATTTTAAAGAAAAAACGTGTGATAAATATAATTAACTTAAACAAAATATTGTATATTGTGTAATACTTCAAATATTACAAAAACCAATGTTTATTTATTATTTTTGTGTCATTACAAAATACATTAATAATTTTAAATAAATGTTTAAATAACTCTTATATTATTTTATAAGGAGCCAAATAATGAAGACTCATTGACTCTTATATTATTTGAATTTGTCTACACAATATACAATATTTTGTTTAATTAATTACACACGTCGTACGTTTTTTTGTTTAAAATATTAAGTTTTATATAATGCATGAGTAGTCAGTGTAACATGTGTAAAAAATTAGGGGTGGTTCGTGTAAGGACAAAAAAGGGAGGGATGATTTGTGTAATTTCACTAAAACTCAAGAGGTGTGAGTGTAATTTACTCTAAATTATATCTCTTCATTTCACTTTATTTTTAATTTCATTAACCTTAGGTAAACCGAAATATATACTACATGACGAACAATAAATAGACGGTAATAATGAAACTAAAAAGGTAGAGGAAATTATAGAAGCAATAGTACATAAAACGAAGCCAAACATTTTCAGATTATACAAAAATACTCAAAAAAACATTCTCATATTATCATATCAAAATTGAAATTCTCCACACAAGTATTCACATATTATTATGTAAATAATCAAAATAAATTAGGGATCCAAGTTTTCCAAAAGTAAGTTTTGACATTTCAGATATCAACTCTAGAAAATCTAATTGTTTATATATATTTACTAATTCAAATCAACCATTTGATTTTCTTATGGTTATGATTGAAGTAATTGAATCATCCCAATATTAATCAAGAAAACCAGTTTTACGCCAAATAGCATTTCTCACCTGACGAAGATCCCTCCCTTTCAGAGTTCTTCCCACTCCTTCCAACACCGAACACGTCTTCTTCGGCGAAACTCCATAACCTCTAGCCACTATTTCATGCGGCGGTAACATCTCGTCATTATCGTCGTCATCATCATCATCCATAAGAGTAAGCTCCTGACCATTCCTCCTCCTCGGAATTTTCATGATCGGAACTTTCACCGGCGCCGATTGCTGGAACTTTCTAGAACCAACCGATTGTGATAAGTAATCGGAAGAACCTGTAGGTCTTGGCAACGAAGGAATCAATCTTGAAGATGATGACGAAATGGAAGATTTCCGGCAAATCACCGGTGCGTGATCGGGTTCGGTTAAGGCAGCGAGGATACCGGAGTTTAACGAGCGATTGAAATTCCGGATGTGATTTTTGCTATCATCGGGAGGAGTGATGACGTGGCGGTTATGTTCCGATTCGGAAAGGTCGCCGGACCAGAAAAGCTCGGCCTCGTTGAAATCATCTCCGGTGGAGGAAGCGGTGGTGGAGATGGTGAAGGGTTGGAGGAGGCGATCGGAGGATGATCGGCGATGAAGAGATCCGATAGTGGGGTCCATTTGTGATAATAGTTGGTGGTGAAAGAAGAGAGAAAAAAGGGATTGTGGATAATCACTAATTCACTTGCATAGTGATGTGGCGTAGTGTCGCTGCTTTAACTATTAAGAAAAGTGAATGACCTGTGTGTGGGACCCTTAGGAATGACAACAGGGCGGGTTCGGGTTGTATTTGTGCTTACCCAATCCCAAACTTGAAATCCAAAACCTAAACCCGAATTAAGCGGGGTTGAAAATAATGATATTATCTCCGAATTCGTCGAGTTTCGGATAACCTGAACCCGAAGAAATCCCAAAAAAACATATATTTATATATATTTAACATATATATTAATTTATATATATATATACATAATAGCTTATTCATGTATAAATTTATATATGTATTTATGTGTAATTTTATAATTTAACATATATTAATTAGGTTCAGGGTAAACTATTAACAATATCAAACTCGAACTCAATCACATCGGGTTTTCCCCGTTAAATTTGGGTTTGGTTGGGGCGGGTACCCATAAGTTCGGTTTTCATTGTCATCCATAGTTAGATACTTATAGCGGAACAATGATCATCTCCATTAATGAAGAAACAAATATTTGATTTTATTTGTATTTCCAGTAACAAAAATATTATTTTATTATATATATAAGTATACAAATGTCTTAATATGTTATTGTTTCTTTTGTTTTTTGTAGTACAATATCTTCATTAATGGAGAATATCCTTATAAGTTTAGTTGGGTTTTCTCGATAAAACATTGGATTTTCTGTTCTAAATAATTTTAAATTCTTAATTTTTTTATTTTTTTAATATTGGCTATATTAGTTTTTTTAAAACAAAATTTAGGGATAATTAGTTTTTCATGAGAACCCAATTTCATCTATCAGATGAGATTGTTCATTTTAAGGAAACAAATGTGTGGCATAGTGTTGTTTTGATAGAATTAATAGATAATTATTAATTAAGTTGTTAATTGCAAATATTGTTATTTGTCAATTTACATCTTGTTAAATAAAATTTATAATTTTGTGGTAAAAGTACATATTATCAATCAATTTAGTTTATTCTTAATAACGAAATGCATAATATGCTTTCATGAACTAAATGTATAATTTTATCTCTAGATGATTAAATTGATGAGTGATTATATTGTCCTATGAAAGTAGCTAGTTATTTAATAATGAATGTTTTTATGTATTTATATATTGATGAGAGATCCATTTATTTCAAAAGTAAGTTTTTTAAACTAACTTCACATATTTGTCATCAATTATAGGGAAATCTAATGATTTAGATCTAATCATTAATTCAAACAATTGGATTTCCCTAGAACTAATGACTAAGATATGGATTAAATTTAAAAAAAAAAGTGAATTTCATCCCTTGTATATTTGTGTGAAGTATAAATAAGTTTAATTTCATTTGTAATCATTACTGGTTTTTTAATTATGGGTAATGTTATTAGTGGACACATAGAAAATAGTATTTCAATACAAGAATTTTACATTAGGCTAAGACTATTTTAATTTTTTTTAAGATCTATTTTGGTAACCAATTTTTGAATATTTATTTACTATTTATTTTGTTATTAATATTGTTGTTTGTCGAATTTATTACATAATATTTATACTTTATCTGAACTTAACATCGACTTTTTAGAGCATCAAACATAGAGTATAATTTAAAAAAGGCCAGTTCTAACCTGCGAACTGCAGGTTAGTTCGCTTCTAAGCGAACTATTAACTTAGTTGTAGGATTTTATTTAAATCATTTCAGCCGTTGGATATGTTACTGGGTACCGGATACTTTTTGCTAAAGTCGGTTTGGGCCTTGGTAACATAGGTGAGAAGTCGGTTTGGGCCAGACCGACTTCTGTTGATATGTTACACTGGCCCAAACCGACTTTTGTAGGTTATTGTAATCGATTACATTATATGTTGTAATCGATTACACTATTTTAGTAATCGATTACAACATATTAAAGGCATCAGATCTGTGCATTTTGTATTATGTAATCGATTACAATATAACAGTAATCGATTACACTATTCTAGTAATCGATTACACAATTCTAGTAATCGATTACCACATATTAAAGGCATCAGATCTGTGAATTTTTTAGTATGTAATCGATTACACTATAAATGTAATCGATTACAACAAATTAAAAGCATCAAATATGTACATTTTTTCACATTTTGCACAATTTAATTATAAAAAAAAATAAAATTTTAAAATTTAAAATTAAGTAATTAAAAAAATTGAAATATTTAATGATAAATTATAATTACAAAATCTTAAAAAATAATGACCTCCCGTTCC